TCATTCAGGTGTTCATTGGCAAACTTCAGACGGGCATGTATATGTGATCTATTGAGCAGGGGGACCTTGCGGGCCCTGCAGGATTTCAGTCCTTCACGGCGTAGTGTTACCAATTCTAGATTTAAAGCTTTCATGACTGCAAGGATCCATAACTCTTTGGTTCTATTCGGTAAAGTCACGTAGGTAGAAATAAAACAAAAATCACGACGTTTCGGCCACAACACAAGCGGCCTTCATCAGGTGAAGGGAGCAGACTGTCTCGAGGACAGCGCTGGAGTGAAACACAGCCACGCTCAGACCGCCGCCTTTAAGCGGTGTGCGAGGAAACAAGGTGCCTTGACAAAGGAATTAGCATAAAAATTAGCATTTGATTGGCCGACTTAGCATGATGAACGGTGTAGAGGTGGTGTACATGCGGGTGAACATGCCGGTTGGCGAGGGGGGGAAGGGGGAGTTTACCTATTGATGGTGTGAAAATGGAATTTTTAAGAGCTGCGAAAGTTTGGGGTACCACTACTTGAAAAATATACTGTACAATTGAAAATTAGTTTAATGTTTGGTTCGATTTAGAAGATCTTTCCAATGGTTGCTTAATTTGAAACCATCTTCTCGGTTGAAATTGTGTCTGTGTTTGTAGATCTGAATTGCCTCGTGAATAAATCTCTGATAAAAACCCGTGGGTTTGCAAAGAACCTTGGTATTGGAGAAAATTATATCGTGATCACCCACAGCGTTGTAACAGTGATCAGCTACGGCAGAAGAATTTGTTCTGCCGTGTTTCAAATCTGATTTGTGCGAGCAAATCCGATTTTTACCTACGTGACTTTACCGAATAGAACCAAAGAGTGTGTGTTACCAATTGTTTTCTTGGTGACTATGGTCCCAGCTGCCTTGAGATCATTGACAAGATCCTCCCGTGTAGTTCTGGGCTGATTCCTCACCGTTCTAATGATCATTGCAACTCCACGAGGTGAGATCTTGCATGGAGCCCCAGGCCGAGGGAGATTGACAGTTCTTTTGTGTTTCTTCCATTTGCGAATAATCGCACCAACTGTTGTCACCTTCTCACCAAGCTGCTTGGCAATGGTCTTGTAGCCCATTCCAGCCTTTTGTAGATCTACAATCTTGTCCCTGACATCCTTGGAGACCTCTTTGGTCTTGGCCATGGTGGAGAGTTTGGAATCTGATTGATTGCTTCTGTGGACAGGTGTCTTTTATACAGGTAACAAGCTTAGATTAGCACTCCCTTTAAGAGTGTGCACCTAATTTCAGCTCGTTACCTGTATAAAAGACACCTGGGAGCCAGAAATCTTTCTGATTGAGAGGGGGTCAAATACTTATTTCCCTCATTAAAATGTAAATCAATTTATAACATTTCTGACATGCGTTTTTCTCGACTTTTTGTTGTTATTCTGTCTCTCACTGTTCAAATACACCTACCATTAAAATTATAGACTGATCATTTCTTTGTCAGTGGGCAAACGTACAAAATCACCAGGGGATCAAATACTTTTTTTTCCCTCACTGTACTTCCTTAGAGCAGTGCTTCTTCTTAACTTGGTTGTTTTTACTTTATTAATAAAGTGCATTAACGGGTAACTCGAACGAATAAAAACAAACACTTGTACCGCGCGTATAGAAATGTCTCGCAGAAAACGTAGCATTCTTTAGATGATATACACGGAACTGTAACCGTGGAATGCTTTGATGGTGCCTACCGGTCGAGTCGCCCTTAGCTCACTGGGCTTTAACAACATAAGATTCTGATCCTGTATATTTTATACGCACATTTAAATTTCACCGTTCATGCAGTGCAGTACCGTACTGTTATAAAGCGTCTCCTGTAATAGATGAGAACATCTATCGTTGAGGCTTCCGTGTTATTAAATGGCATTGTTAGTGCCTTTGTTAAGCTGTTGAATGTGTGTAGGTGGTGCACCTGCACCGGAATCCCAAGCTTTGGTCAACGGTACCTCATTGCATTCCTTTACACCACGGCCCATCTCAACCCACTCATGGTCTGCACTCATCTTCAGTAGGTAATTGCCGCTTGGCATGTTTGCTCATTGATTGGGGTTTTTGTTATCGTTTTGTGAAATTAACGCAAATCCCAAATTCCAAGATTGTTTTAGTGCAAGCATTGGTCATTCCACTCGTGAGCCCAGTTTACATATGGGTGGCTGCTTGGATTCGAACTCAGGAGTGCAGAGGTTTGTGTCATTGCTCTGACCCTAGAAACCGCCCGGCCACCTCCCTCCTGGTTGTTTTTAGTTTCTAAATTAAACTTTTTTTTAATATACCAGCTATATAGCTCTGCTTTTTTTTTCTTTCAGAAACGACCTGACCGAAAATGATAGCTCAACGAAGTGGCTTATCACGTGGAAATTTATAACAGCCAAATACTCTAAACGCACGTTTTCTAAATGTGGAGGGAAAAACCAAAACCGGCGGACCCAGAAAAAATCCACACGATCGCGGGGAGAACACGCAAACTCCAAATATACAGCAGGCATCAAGATCGGGAAACATCCCACGACCTCCTGTATACCTGAAAAAGTAATTAATCGTCACAATTCTCGGACAAAACACACGCAATTAATCTCAAAGCTCTTTTTCAAGTGCATCTCATAAGAGTAATATGTTTTGATTTAAAGCTTTCGTGACTGCAGGGATTCATATTCTTGGTTCTTTCGGTAAAGTCATGATTGCTTGTGTTGCAGTCGAAACGTCGTGAGAATTTTATTTTATATTTTTATTTTTTATTATTTTATTGTTTCCCTTCTACTTGACTTTACCGAAAGAACCAAGAATAGTAATATATGTATCGTACACAGTACAAGAGAGCATATCAAACCATCCGATATAAGCCCTGACCAATTAACCAGGCCCACCCAGTTGCAGTATTTTGTGCATGGTGTAATTTATATATAGGCTGGTCCAATGTCTTGTGACCCCTATTTAATGATCTAAAACGTAATATTCTTTAAGTAAGGTTTATTTCAAACAGAAATTTATATGTAAAGGAAAACAAAATGTTACGGGCAAATTAATTGGGGGGTGGGTCACAAGACATCTGGACTACCCTGTATAGTCGATCAGCATGATTGGTTATGTTCGGTGCGAAATAAGTTCAACATACATACAAATCCAACCTTTTCACGTCAGCATTTATTTTTAATCTCGTGAACATTCGCTTACTTCCAACCTAGCGTACGACATCGGCTCTCAAGAGTCGCAAATGCGACGTTGTGCTGTGCTCGTATGCACAATTGAATTCTGCACTCCTGAGCTGTTGCTTGTTCACAATAAATGACCGCTTATTACACATTTGATTGCAACAATTGGTGATGTTTGCACAACAGACGGTGCATTCAGTGCAATCCCAACTGAGCAGAAAAAAAACTCTTTTGAATGGCGCCTCCTCCTAAACTCTGGAGCCAGGATAACTTCCCAGACAGCAGATGTGGCCTCGCCATCAACTTTTCCCCATTCATCTTCCAAGGCATTCATTGAAAACGAATGCCTAACCGATGCACAGACACGCACCCCTCACTGCCGGTATCAAGTATCGCTCGCTTAGGTTGATCTCACTTGAAAAACGCTCATTGACGGTCATAAACGGTTAGGGGCCGTCCATAAATGACGTCACGCACCTGGGGAGGTAGGGGGGGGTCAGACATTTGTGACGATGTGTAACGAGGGGGGGGGGGGGGTTGAGAAATGTGACGTCACTTCAAAATGCGCAACTTTAAATATAGAATTGTTATAACAACACTAATTGTTACAACACTCATACAACATCAGAGTGCAGCGCCACATTAAATACGCACTACAATGACAATAGTTTAAAGCGATTTGAAGCATGTTTGATTATAAAAATGGAAATGTTTTTTTTTGGGGGGGGGGGGCAGAACTTTGTGACGTCATATTTGAGGGGGGATCTGACTTTTTGTGATGCCGTGTGACGATGGGGGGGGGGGGTCAAAAATCGTCCAAAATCGCGTGACGTCATTTATGGACGGCCCCATAGTGCACTGCGGTACGAGCCTGGTGACCCAAGATATATTCCTGTCCACGGCTAACATTCTTACCAATTGATATCCGAGGCGGTACTATTCCCACACCGACACCCCTGCAGCAACCCACATTGATCAGGATTGTCAAGTATGGCATTACAACTCCCACTACGGGCATAATAATCATTTAGAATGTTATTTCTGCCAACCCTAGGTGGAAACCAGTCCAGGGTTAATACAATGTGCACAATACCAACACTGCAGTGGTGGCAGCACACTTGTTCATTGCTTAATAAACTACTTTTTTTTACATACAATATAAGCCTTGATAGGGGCTAACAACAGTCTAATCAGAAAATTGTTAAGCCAAAACATTGGAATATTAAATTTCGATTTAAAGCTTTCGTGACTGCAAGGATTCATCTTCTTTGGTTTTTTCGGTAAAGTCACGTAGAATGAGAATAAAATAAAATAATAAAATTCTCACGACGTTTCGGCCACAGAGCTCTGTCGTCCCGACAGGTTTGTTCCTCTCACCTGAAGAAGGCCACTTGTGTTGTGGCCGAAACGTCGTGAGAATTTTATGGTTTTATTTTATTATTTTATTCTCATTCTACGTGACTTTACCGAAAAAACCAAAGAAGATTGGAATATTAGTTTTTAAAAAGCAAAAACAATTATGCAATGACAAAATCATTCGACAGATACATTTGAACAATCGTTTATTAACAGTAAACAACAGTACAATTGAATGAAAAGTATTTGCAGACACCTTATAACACAATTCTGAAGTCAAGTTCCTTTCATAAATATACAACCACAATCGTTGATTTAAAGCTTTCGTGACTGCAGGGATTCATATTCTTGGTTCTTTCGGTAAAGTCACGTAGAAGGGAAACAATAAAATAATAATAATAAAAAAAGAAAAAATATATTATTTTATTGTTTCCCTTCTACGTGACTTTACCGAAAGAACCAAGAATATGAACCACAATCGTATGAAAAAAAAAACATTCCAAATCTGATACGATATATATTGAGCTCACCGATAACCTTGGAGCATTTTCTTTACAAAAATATGTGTATTCATCGCTCATCCGCATTTAGTCAACTTGTATTTATAGCAATCTCCAACAAAAAGTACAAGACCTTGCAGAGTGGCTTAAATGACCACGCTTGAAAGACTTGCACTTTACACAATTACGCGTCCAACTTTGACAATCATCCCCCTGAGGTGAATAAAATAACCAGTACCATTGACCACTGCTACGTGACAAGTCAACAGCGGCTGCTGTGTGACCAATGCACCACGGGGTATTTGTACTTTCCGGATAATTTGTTCATTTGAAACCATCAACACGTCCACTGCGCTGATCCCCAACTAGGGCAACGTTCTGTCAATCTTGCTCAGCAGTTGGGTTCACCAATGACAAGTGTGAACTAGACGGTCACACTATTCGAATGAATAACATTGTATCTGCACAGTGGCACCGTCAGCTGTTAACAATAGGCATGTAAAGATTAACTAAAAGAGATTCTTGATGTGCGTAAGAATCGATTATCTTCACTTAACGCAATTTTTATCCACATTTATCCCTTTAGAGTGATGGTGGGAATCAAGGACAAACAAAAGTACGGGCAAGACACGCAGTACAGATGGGGAAGATGGTACAAACTAAACAGTACGGATGAAATTGACGAAGGTGAATCATTAAAAAAAAAAACATGAGGGCAGAAATGAGGCAGTCTCACTCGACAGTACACAAACAAGACAGCACAGTACAATAACACAAATATAAACAAGACACGCAGTACAGGCGAGACTTCCAAACGGGACAAAGGAAGGATCAATTCTCAAACCAAATCGCGACCTCCAATTCCAACCGATGATCCCAACCGACCATGGGGGGGGGGGAGGGGGAGGCTGAATTGCTACGTGCCTCGTTAACAGACTTGGAGCCACCATACGTGGCCGGAACTTGCTCTGGTACGTGGGTGGACGATGGGGGCGGGGGTCGCTAGCGTCCAACGCTCTTGAGGGTTTCATGCAGCAGGCGCCGAACCTCCGCTCCCCGCTGGACGGCGCGCGTCACACAGTCCTGCATCTGCTCTGCGGAGAGGGGGCTGCCTCCTGCACTCAACACATGGGAAGGGCGGGGGTGCAGTCATTGTCAGCACACATCGGGGTAATCCAAGAAAAACACAAGGCACAAACAAGAAAGCTATCAAAACAAAATAAATTAGTCCATTAGGTCACATCGGGGTGGATGACCCCGATGGCCCTAACGGACTAATGTGTGTGTTTTTTGGTGCCACTTCTTAATTTTTTTTATTTTTTTATTTGCTTGATAGTAGGGTTTTCATTTGCTTGGTGTGGGCGTGTGTGTTGGGCTTCTTTCGCGGCGTGCGTATATGGGATTGTGGTCCTTATATATAATGAATGTGCACAGCGTTGTGGGATGCTGTTGCCATGACTGATGCTATATAAAATGAAAGTATTATTATTATTACCACCACATCTGCAACATCGGACTTCGGGTGGGGACCACACGGCGAATCTATCCAAATCGAATGGGATTTATGTGGCGGGTGGGTAAACAGGCTGGTAAACTGGGTGGTAGGAAGGTCACTAAATGGGTAGGTAGCTGTGTAGATATCAGGTAGTTAAAAAAGTTGTGCGTAAATAACAGTCAGGTATGAATGCATGTAGGTAGGTAAAGTAGTGAGGTACAATAAAACCTTGGATTGCGAGCATAATTCGTTCCGGAAACGTGTTTGAAATACAAAGCACTCGTATATCAAAGCACTTGTATATCAGTTGTGATCCCGTGACGCTCGGCAGTACAAAGCGTATATACGTACTACTACTCGTATTGCAAGACCCTCGCTCGTTTATCAAACCAATATTTATTTAAAATTTTGGCTCGTCTTGCAAAACACTCGCAGACCAAGTTACTCGCAATCCAAGGTTTTACTGTACATACAAAAGTAGGTATATGTATGTGCGTTTGTGGGTAGCTGATTGGACAGGAGCACGTAGGTAGGTGGGTTTCTACGTGTAAATAAATGCGGATCTTTTTCTAACATCGGTGTGAAAACGTGTCCTTCTTCTTGGCTCCCAGCGTCATCGCGAGGTCCTGTGGTAAAAGCCCGGGGGAGGGACGGCGCCGCCACCGCGACTGCCGAGAGGCCTTACCGGGCTTGTGGACGGCGCACAGTTGGTCCTCCTCGTCCGTCACGATGGTGACCATGCCACACGACAGCGCCTCCTCCTCATCCGTGGGGTCAACCAGGAGCACCGTGCTTCAACGCCACAATCGCGCCGGTTAACCCCTTTGCCTCGTTCCGATGACGTACGTGCGCATCGTAAAAATAACGTCGTCGGTACCGAGGCTCCCATAGGGCCATGCGGGGAGGGCGTTTTGGCACAGTTTGGCGACAGCTATCGTAGATCATAGCTGCAGCCAACCAAATAGCATTTAAACACTCAATCGGCCATCAAAAGTAACAAATTTTAATCTCTAGTTTGAGTTTCACTCAGCCGGTCATCCCTCCAGTCAACGTTGAGTGGTTATGTTACGATGAGTCGCTCCTCCTCCTCTATGTATATATATCAATCCACTGCTGGATGAGGGCCTCCCACCACTGTGTAAGTCTTGGGGGTTATTTTACCGTACTTCACCATACTGGTTAGTGCGGGTTGATGAGTGCAGGGTAAACGTGGGAGCATAGTACAGTCCAATTGGTTTTGCTGCACTGCCCACCATGTAGCCCCGCAGCCTATAAGAACCATTCTTATGTATGGCGGTCGCCCATCCAAGTGCCATCCAGGCTCGAACCTGCTTAGCTTCTGAGAGGAATGTAGAATTGTATTATCACCGACTCTGGGGTGGACCAATGAAGATGTGTGTTGCCACATTGCTCGTTGGGAGCGGGGACAGGCCTTCTACGTGGGGAGTTGGGTGTACGTATTTATGTATGTTGAGCTTCTTTAAGCTAAATTATGAACTTTTTTTATATTTTACCAGGTAAGGCCCACTTGAGCTATATGTAGCTCTTTTTCAGAAGCGACCTGGCCACAAATGATAGCTCAACGAAGTGGCTCATTGCACGGAAATGTATCGCAGCCAAATACTCCGAACGCGTGATGTTGATTCTAAATGCGGAGGGGAAAAACGGAGGCCCCAGTGGATAATCCACGCGACCACGGGCAGAAAGCACATGCAAACTCCCAATATGCAGGCGTCAGGGTGGGAATCGAACCTACGTAAACTCCTGTATACCAGGTGGGGGGTAGTTAACCTCTCGCCATCGCGGCGCCCATATGTCGCCAACCATACATAGCCAGCCGTTCTGAGCAAGGTGCGGTGTAACCGGCGGGTCTCACCCATCGAAGATGGAAAAGGACGTGGACACTGGGTAGTTGCCAACCTTCACAGGCAACCTCTCCTGCACGGTCACCTGGGCCAGGCCGGTCTCCTTGCTCACGCCGACCTTGGGCAGCGTCACTGTGGCACACAGGACGCTTGTGAGCACACCAGACGCCGTACAACTGTGTCGCAGGTCTATCCCACAGCATTGCTTTATTATTTCAGTCGTTTACTGCCGTACGCACCCTGAATGTTGTGTGTGTCTGCAGCAAGCGCGTGTGTGTGTGTACCTACGGACGCGCGTGCTGTGTGTGTGTGGGAGGAGCGGTAGTGTAGTGGTTAGCGCTACCCTGCGCTACGAACCCGGCGACCCGAGTTCGATTCCCGCTCACGGCCACCACCGGTGACGATAATTTGAACCGGTCCTGGGCCTCCCCTAGGTCGACTCAGCCTCAAACGAGTGTGGGGTGTGTGGACATGGCCACTGGGGGGACAATGGCGGCCGGGCGTGGTGAATCCAAGTCCTGGGCGAAGCCGGGTAGTAAAGCTATAATCTCGCACGTATATTCATCGTGCAGCCGCATTTAGTAAAATTGTATTTATAACGATCTCCCGACAATAAGTACAAGACTTTCACGGCTTAAATGCTTAAAAAGACTGCACGTTATCAATTACACATCCAACTACGCCAATCATTCATCCGAGGTAAATCAAATGAAACCCACCAAGTGTCACTGACCACTGCTACTACTACGGAAAATTACACTAAGTGCCCAAGCTGATCCGTTTGACCTTGGGCTATATTCAATTACGTATAATGTTAACATCTCATATGTTTGTGCAACATTAAAAAAAAATTCTCACGGAATAAAGTTTGTTAGTTTTTTTATTCTGATTTTAATTTTGTCTCATCACTGTACTTTTATTTCATTTGTATTATTTCATGTTTCTTTTATTTGTTTAGCCGCTGTCACCTTGGGTGAACCTGACCAATAACTTTTGCAAATGAGACTCCTATCCTCGTCTCATCAGTCGTCACCCGGCGAAACAAAACGAACTTCAAACTGAACACACGAATTCCTCATCGGTTATTTCGGTAAAGTCACGTAGGGGAAAAATAAATAAGTAAAACAAAAATGGAAAAAAACTAAATTAAATCACGACGTTTCGGAGGCAACACAAGCTTCATTCAACAGGTGTAAAAAAAAATCACAGCAAAATTACTGTAGAGAGAGCTATTTGTTGTTGTTTTCATTTTTGTTTAATTTAATTTGTTTTTTACCTCCGTGACTTTACCGAAAGAACCAAAGAGTTATGGATCCTTGCAGAACATGGAAACTTAAAATCTAGAAAGAATCCCTCATCCCGCCCAAGGCCTATTACGCATTTGGCCACCAATTGAATGGTAGCAAACTAAAAGTCAAGGGAATGCACTCGGTAAAAAGAAAACCACTCACAACGTTGCGGGGAAAAACCACCCCAACGGGTGGAACAAAGTGCCATTTAACGAACGATGCTGGGGCAGCTGTCGCGAGCACAAGCCAGGCAACGCGTCAAGCGGACTCACGGTTCTGTAATGCGGCCAGAAGTGCAATAGAGCACGCGTCCAATATGTTCCCATCATAGTCCAGGCACATCAAGTCACAGTACAGCACCCAAGCGAGCTGTACACACACGCACACACGCACGCCCACACAGACAAACTACATGTTGATCCAACGTTCTCCAGGTGAGCTTTAAAAAGACGGACCAAGTTACATTTTATTTTGCTTAACTTCCCATTCGCACAGTTGATTACGTACGGTGTGAAAGAAGTTCGACATGCACATGAGTGGGCACCTCCTGTATGGACATATATCAATCCACTGCTGGATGAGGGCATCCCCACACTGTAAACCTTGGGGGTTATTTTACTATACGTCACATACTCAGGATGTGGTGTATAGACGAGTCCCATTTTCATCAGAACCACTCTCTCTCGGAGTGAACGAACACCGTGCAGCATGTTACAAATCCTCCTTCAGCCATATATTCCATCAAGATCATGAAGATCATCAGTTTGTGCATTGCTCACTGCCCCACGGTCGAGGCGACACACTTCGGGGGTGGGGGGGGGGTGACGGTGCCTTTGGAACTGCGGCACCGAAACTCTGGAACTCCTTGTCCCTTCGTGGTCACGACTTCAGGGACACTTACAAATCTTCAAATCGCGACTAAAAATTACTTTAAAATGGGGGTTTTCTCTTCAGGTATTTTCAAACGTCGTTCTCACTTCTTCTGTCCTTGGTTTCTATGAACTATTTCTGCCTTTCCATACATAGCACCCTGAGAACGATTGTTTAAGGGCGCTTTATACGTTTAAATTATTATGAAAAACTCTGGTCATTTAATTTATTTATTTTATTTAATGAAACCCAAATATTCCACTTAATAATGAGTGTAGGTGGGAACATCCTTACCTTCCCCTTCTCTATGCACAGATCCTGAAGGGCAATGATATGAGAGCTAAACAGGAACAAGAAGCAAATGAATTAACTCGGACACACATCTTGGTGATGCCTAACGAAACAACCTGACATCAAGGTCAATAGCAATCAGACTACACATGTTAAAAACAGAAATAAATATTCGATGCTTCAATAAAACATTTTCAAACATAAAATGACAGTAAACATCATGTATCTATTGAAAAATGTATATATTATATTTTATAAAAATCACTAATATCTACCCCAGTGAGATGTTTCACTTGCAGGAGAACTGCAAAAAGTGTCCCATAGGACATTGCCTGCTTCATGTGTGTATCACTTGTACATAATGTTAAAGTTAAGGAATGCATTTACAAATACAATAGGGGAACACAAGTCACACATTTCTCTCATCATGGATTAAAAGAAAAATGTAGCCTACGGATTATATATGTTTTCATACCATGCACTACTTTACAGTGCAGATTGGGGATAGCTGAAATGGATACTGAGTCATAACTGATTTTGGGCGAGACCACTTAATCATGATCTGGACACAATCGTGTTTAGACCCTTCACCACCCGACAGCCAACTGCATCGTGTTGTCACGTGTGCAAGCGTATAAAGCGCCAATTATTATTATTTTACCACCTCACCAGTAAGTTGAAGAACAATACAACCAAATTCATCAATTAAGAGAGGGGGGGGGGGAAAAGAAAAAACGATTGTGAAAATTGACACTTGAACTTACCGGTGAGCCGAAACAATTATAACTGGTGCGTTAAAACGCTCGTATGTTGTGTCGTGTGTGTGTAGTGGAGGATGTTAACGACACAAAAAGACTTGGTCAGATGAATTCCGTGGCTTAACCCAAAAAAATGACGAATCATAAAATCAGCCAAGGAGAGGTACGCACACGCACGCACGCACGCACGGACGCACAGAACAAAACACGCCGATGCAACGTTATCCAGGTGAGACTTTAAAAGGGACGGACCAAAATCCGCGTAACATCACGAAATGTCACGTGTGGATTATGAGAGTTTTGCCGCGCCGGCTACCGGAGAACGAGCCTGGGGCTCACCTGTCAATGACGTCCGCCAGGAACTGGCTTGCCGCCTGCGCTTGCTCACCGGGGGGCCCGGGCCGGAAGCGTGGAGAGCAAAGCGGCGGCAGCTCCAAGTTCGGCACTGCCGAAGGGGGGGGGGGGGGGGGGGGGGGGGACACGGGGGGGGGGGGGACGCAGGAGGGTTTCGGCAAGAAGTTTAGGAGCAGCGTTCAGAACGCTTCGCGGAGCCACCCTGGCTGCAGATTTCCAAACCAAAACAGTGCCGGCACACCACCACGCCCGTAGTCCAGCGCTCTGGAGACACTTTACAGGAAAGGGATAATATAATGCTTCACACAATCGCTGAACCATCAGAGACGAGCTGGAAGAAGGTGGCTAGGCGGCGACCCAGTGCCAACAATTGCCTCAGCTCTGTGGTCCTCCATATATTAGGATGTTTTCAGTCCATTAATGAGTTTATCGGAGGAAACCCGAGCACCCGGAGAAAGAAAAAAAAACGACTCGTGTGCGAGGGGACAAAACTCTATCCCGCATTAAAGTGCCGCTGTGCGAACTACAAAGTTTCGCTGCGTAGCACTTTGAAAGTGATGGCGCCTAAAGTGTGTGCCGAGTACGCAGTCTCGCAAACAGATGCACAGCAGAGCTCTGGAACGAACGTGATGGTGCCGACCGACCGTGCACAACACACACATAGGAGTTGTTGCTGCCCACATGGTCCGGAACAGTGGTTCCCAACCTGTTTTGGATACTTTACCCCTTGTTGAATTTTGTTTCAACCGAGTACCCCTTATCGGACCCAACATGCTTTTGAGAAATAGACGTATGAATGAGCATCAATATTTTAACCGATTGTCAATTGTTGTGCGGTATGAGCCTAATTAAGCTAGTAACCGCAAGCGAACAAAAAAAATTCAACGGAAACAATGTCGTATACAATCGATGAGTTTAGAAAGGTCTTTTATATCATTTTAGGTTAACACGTGGATTTAAATTTGTCGTAGTCATTTTATATTGGCAGATTCATACATGATCATTCACCAATGACTCTCGTGCATGATATAATTTCACACGTTTATAAATCACCTCGCGTACCGCCCAGAGGTCCGCAAACCCCCCGGCTGAGAACGGCTGTAGTCTAAGAACTCCCTACTCAGCGCGGCCAGCCGTGCTGTCGGTAGCAACTTAAGCGCTCACAACACAGTCGACCCACCGATGAATCCCTGGTCTGGCGCTTCAGAGGTTGGGGCAGCGAGTTCCTGGTGGAAAAAACAAAGCCAGAGCTTGAATACACTTCTTTCCCTTTGTCATCAAAGGTCTCCCTTTGAGAAAAAGGAGATTATATCACAAGGGCTATTTTATCTGATGCTCTACACCAGTGGTTCTTTATCTGGTGGTCATGGAGGCTCTTGGAATGGGCTGTGAATCTAACGGGTTAAATTAGTCATTCAGTCCAACACAGGATTTCATACAAGTAATTTTCATCAAAGTCCAGTGAGGGCCCAGTCTGATTCGAAGAATTCAAGAACCTGTGGCTTTTGACTTTGCACATGCACACAACCTTGTGACCTTTTATGCACGTGAAGCAAACCGTGACTGCATGCAGTCGCGAGTGAAGCGCCGCCTTCTGGTCGAACCGCGCTATTGCACGTTGCGTACTTACAGCAAACAAACTGTACTCGATAACAATGTCAACCACAGTGAAGAAGAGAATGCATATTCTTGGTTCTCTCGGTAAAGTCACGTTGAAGGGAAACAATAAAATAATAATATAAAACAATAAAATTCTCACGACGTTATATATTATATATTATATTATTTTGTTTCCCTTCAACGTGACTTTTCCGAAAGAACCAAGAATATGGATCACTGCAGTCACCAAAGCTTTAAATCAAAGATGATGCATGCCAAGTGCGAGCAATATAGGTGGTGAGTATGCCAGGTGTCAGATGAGTGGTCTGTCAGGTGAGTAGTGAGTGCCAAATCTGAGTGATACGTTTCAGGAGACCTGTCTTATGAATAGCAACTGGCACGGAATGAGTGTATGGTGAGTGCTCAGTGTATACGGTGAGTTGTATCAGGTGAGTGGCGGGGATGTCTGTGTGGCGACGGGTCAGAAGAGTCAATTTAGATTTGAAGTTTTCGTGACTGCAGGGATCCACTCTTTGGTTATTTCGGTAAAGTCACGTAGGTATGTGACAATTCAGCAATTGTTTCTTGATGTGGTAGTCCCACCTGATGACGGACGCCTGTGTTGCGCCCGAAACGTCGTCATTTAATTTTATACCTACGTGACTTTACCGAAAGAACCAAAGAGTATGGGTCAGAAGAGTGTCACGTGAGTGGCGAGCATCATGCGCCTGGTGAGAATCAGCTGCCAAGGTGTCTGGTCACCCCGTTCATAGGAAGGGCTGCCCCTATTGTGCAGTCAGAGGTACTCTGGTCAGGTATACAGACTTTCTATTACGTCAAATGACATCGTAACAAGATTCTTACTCTTATGAGGCTCGCTGGAAAACATCGTTGAAGATGCCTGCCCTACACGGTAACACTCATCACATTCGTCAAGGTAATATATAACAGGCTAACATTTTAAAATGTCAACCTGTCACGCACCTTCTACTATGGCAGTGCTATAGACAAAAGCCTCGAGAGTTTTTTAGTGTGTGCTTGTGCATTGCTACCAATATATAGTCCCTCAACCAGGGGCGGAGCCAGGGGGGTGACAGGGTAGACAATTGTCACCCCCGAAAAAAAATCGAAAATCTTAAACATTTTGCGTATAAGTGTACGACACTCGGTCTGGCGGACTCCGTGCAACTGCATTGTCAGAGCGTGTCGCCAACCGATGGCGTCTAGATCAACAGCCTGACTCTCTAATCATTCTTGAAATTAAAATTTGTTGAATGTCACCCCGGGCTGAAAATCCTGGCTCCGCCCCTGCCCTCAACAAAAATCATTAAGGTGAAAACAAATTCCGAGTTCAAGTCCATTTCCGAGCTGCCGCACAAACCATACCCAGCTTTTGCAACAGAGACAAACACCAAGGGACTGAACATTGATTCTAAGAAAATCTTAGCGGCCCAGTAAGCGACCACTTACAGCCACACTTTAATCAACAAGAACGGATTTCAGTTTAATCAATTGCGCGCAACTATGCATAATGAAAACAATGCATCCACTATAATTAAGGGCATTGACCGATTCTAATTTCCGTTTGGCATGAGGTTATTGTGAATAAGTTGCAGAGAATGATTAAAGAGACAAGACTAATAGCTCTCATATACACGCTATAGTACAAGTAATTATTATAAATATAATATAATCGACGACATCCCATTATGGAATTTCACAGCTCAATTAAAACGTGACCATTAGTCAAGAAGACGTAAAAACAATGATAGCAAGCAGCTTGTGTGTTCAGGCAGTCAACGCACAATGGGTCGAGATAAAAATCTCAGCATTTACGTTCAATAAATACTACTGGACACAACGCAACTAAACCTTTGCAAAACGTTATTTAGAGGCAGTTTAATTGCATGGTTTAACGTCTCTCTAGCTGCCCTTACAATAAAGCAACTTTTAACTGTGGAATAAATACGTTTCCTGCTTCAAGTTATTCTTTGTGCCAATTTCATCACGTAAATGCAAATTATTGGGTTGAGCAGTGGCGCAATGGTTACCATTCTGTGCTACGAGCTCAGTGACCCACGTTCAATTCCCGGCCACAGCTAACATCAGTGGCAAGTGACATATCAACCGTTTTTGGGCCCCCTTTCTCCAACCTGACCTGTCCAGAATGGTGAACTTATGGTTAAACAACACAACAAGGACATGCGGGGAGGCCTTCATCCGGCAGTGGAATGACACAGGGGTTTGCAAATTACTAGCTATTACTGTTTTCGATTGAGTGGCAAAATCAGCTGGTGTGCAGGTAATGGGTGGATTGTTAAATCAAAAGACCATGAGAGAGGCGAAGGCTTGGTGAGGACTGTATGCAGCAGTGGCTTGATCCTGGCTTTAAGATTGTTACGTTAATGTCACGTAACATGAAGGAATATTCGAGCTTACAAAAGGCATCTCCATTCCACACTCACCCCCTTCACACCACAGATCACCGTGGTGTTTCCCACTTTGACCAGCGCTGAGCCATCGGCCGTGGAGAGCGAGCCTGTTCCAACAACAGAGGGGGGGGGGGTGGCGAGGGGGAGTCGTCGCAAAGCCGAGGCTGAATGGCACACGATACAAACCGAAGGCACATCGGAGGTCTATACAGCCCGACCGTAAAAATCTGCACAGTAAAATGATGGCATCTAGCAGAAGGCAGCGATGGCAAGCCGTCCTGATATCAACAGTATTGACCACGATTAGCAGGCTTGACTACATACGGTTAGCACGGTTGGCTACGTACGGTGCGAAAGAAATCCAACATACTGTACATGCACAATGACCGTTTGATATAGCTTTTATCAAATGGATGTAAAATTATATAATCAATGTATTCAGCATTCTGTAATTGTCCTGTTCTTTGGCAGTGTTTGCCAAACGAACCTCAACGTGGATGTAAAGGGGGAGGGGTGGTGTAAATATCTGCATGTGAGAGACTGTTAAAATGAAATGCCGCCTACCGATATTCAGTGTGGTGACGCGAAATTCTCCCAGTTCTCTGCCATCTGGCCTGCAGTTTTCTTTCTGCAGGTAACATTCGGAGCGGTGAAACGAAACCATCCAAACTGGCAGTCCGGCGGCATCTTACGCGCCAGGAAATGGGGCGAGCACAACAGTTGTCTGAACTGTTGGGAAGAAGCCACACACTCGACAAGGCCAGCAGTCATTCTTACCAGAAAACTCCTGTAATATTCCACTGGCTCTGCTGTCCTGTAAAAGCAAAAAAAAGGTTTATAAGAATTGGTTTTACCCTTTATGGCAATAAAACAGGTGTTAGTAGGATTCATATTCTTGATCCTTTCGGTAAAGTCACGTAGAAGGGAAACAATAAAATAATAAAAATATAAAACAATTATTTTCTTGCTGTGGTTTTCAGACCTGATGATGATTGCTTGGTGTTGCAGTCGAAACGTCGTGAGAATTTTATTGTTTTATATTTTTATTATTTTGTTTCCCTTCTACGTGACTTTACCGAAAGAACCAAGAATATGAATCCTCTTCTTTGGTTCTTTCGGTAAAGTCACGTAGAATGAGAAAAGAATGAGAAAAAAATATAATAAATTGATAAAATAAAATAACACAATAATATTCTCACGTTTCGGCCAAAATATAAAACAATTATTTTCTTGCTGTGGTTTTCAGACCTGATGATGATTGCTTGGTGTTGCAGTCGAAACGTCGTGAGAATTTTATTGTTTTATATTTTTATTATTTTGTTTCCCTTCTACGTGACTTTACCGAAAGAACCAAGAATATGAATCCTCTTCTTTGGTTCTTTCGGTAAAGTCGCGTAGAATGAGAAAAAAATAAGAAAAAATAATAAATTGATAAAATAAAATAACACAATAATATTCTCACGACGTTTCGGCCACAACACAAGCGGCCTTATGTGAAGGGACGAGACTGTCTGGAGGACAGAATGATGAAGGCCGCTTGTGTTGTGGCCGAAACGTCGTGAGAATATTATTGTGTTATTTTATTTTATCAATTTATTATTTTATTCTCATTCTACGTGACTTTACCGAAAGAACCAAAGAAGATGAATCCTTGCAGTCACGAAAGCTTTAAATCGAAATATGAATCCTAACACCTGCTTTATTGTCAGAAAGGGTAAAACCTATTCTTATAGTGATAGTGGCAAGGAAGGCCCCACATTTTGTTTTATTTATGAATGGTATTTTTCACCGTGAAAGTACAACAGTGTATCCATCATAACGGTTTTGTTGGGTTAGGTCACGTAAATATAAATGTGTCATTAAACACGCAACCACCCAAGGTTTGTCACATAAACAAAACATGCCAATTCGTTACTACTTCAGCACACCGGTGTGTCGGAGATTACACCGACAACGTTTACAATATTATATTCGAAGCTTTCGTGACTGCAGGAATTACTCTTTGGTTCTTTCGGTAAAGTCACGTAGAAAATAAAATAGAATACGACGTTTCGGTTGCAAAACAAGCAACCATCATCAGGTAAGAATGAATGATAAAACACAGACACGGGAACAGCATAGGCATTCTTACCTGATAATGGTTGCTTGTGTTGCAACCGAAACGTCGTATTCTATTATTATTTGATTTGATTTTCTACGTGACTTTACCGAAAGAAACAAGGCGTGATTTACAATATTATGGATAAAATTGGTCGCGGAAGCCTACGTGTTAAACTACAACAGCTTCATTTAACGGTGCGGTGTTAAAGTAAAATATGCTTACAAGAATAAGCACGTTTACTTCTGGTCCTTTTCAATACATTTTGACGCATATTGCGCTATTGATACAGCGGCACGACATAATCAATTCGCAGAGCAGGTGGGTCGCCGTATACCATAGAGAACGGTCCGCGGAAGGAGGCGTCAAAGAGCTACGGCACTTCTGGTAGCCCCTTCCTTCCAAGTGACCGCTTATCCACGGCTCGTGGGTGGGCAGCGCTTTCCCACCTACACTGCTTTAATGTCCAACCCGGTACTTTTGTTATTGGTGAGCAGGGTGAGGGCATAACCCGGTCTTTCATCCCAATGCGACTGAAACTCGCGATTCGAACCCAGTATATAAAGGCGGCGTCAACTATAGCCTTCTGACCTCAACTCAAGCCTTCTGACCTCCCGGGTCAACCCACCGGCAATGTCAAGTCTCATCAATGTGTGCCGAGCCACAGGCCCAACACGGGGAGCACTATAAAAATTGCGATAAGCTGTAACGCGTTGCTTGAATTGAGCAAGATCATGAGAGAGATTAGGGGGTTGGAGTGGGGAGGGGTAGACACGATGTGGAGAAAACGAATTAACGCAAACGAGACGAACGCGAGATTCTTAAAACTCAGAAGCCGCGATCGCCGTCCATCCCCAATCCCCCTGGCTTTTGACCGCCAATGTTTCAACGTTATTGTATCGACGTTGGTATTCCACGACAGCGCTCCGCGTAATAATAATAATTCGCGCGGCTCGTTGCGTACAAATTAAACGCAGCGCGTTGGTGGGGTGGGGTGGGATGGGGAGCAAAAAAAATGAAACGGAGTCGCCAATTACATCCCAAACCCCTCCGCTGCACTGAAAATTCCCTGCACCGAGTCTCACGCGCGACCACGTGCGGCACTCGGCCGACTGCGACGCTCCCGCATCGGCAAGTTGTGGCCTGGGTTGGCGAGCGCCGGACGTGGACAGAGGGAGCGGGAGTTCATTCATTGCTACGAGGACGAAAGAGTTCCAAACCCCACAGCCTACCCCCCACCCCCCCGTCGCTGGTTGTAGGCGAGCGAGCCGAGTTGGACTCCCGGCCGCGACTCCCAGACTCACTTGAACCCTGCCGCCATGGTGCCCGAGATCGGACACCACCACACCCCCCACCCCCGGCAGCCAACGCTCGATTCCGCGCCGCGGATTCACCATTCGTAATGCTAATTTAAAAACACATTGCACACAAACAGAATAAACTCGCGGTATCTGGTGATCATTACACACAAACAGAATAAACTCGCGGTATCAGGTGATCTAATTGAGCGAATTAAGTTTTGGGAATAAATACCAAATAGAATATAATCGTTGTCACGTTCGGTGAATCGGCAGCGCGGAAAGTGCGGCTGCAGGCAACATCGTGCGCGGGCCTCCCACTCCCCCCATTGATCATTTACATTGGCCCGAACTAACCACGTGATATGGAGAGAGCAAGCCTCTCTACGATTGGCCAATAATCGCACCGACTCAGACGCATCACTTATTGGTCAATCATAGCCACGTGGTGGACGTTGCGCACCCACCTCCGCTTGTCGTACGCTGATTGGGCAGCTAACACCACGTGACAGCGTCATTTTGTAAATACCGCATGGGGGGCACTTCTAGTTGGTCAACTAACCCCACGTGACGAACCCCCGCCTCACTTGAGCGTTGAACTCTCATTTGGTGGTTCTGCCGCTGTTTGATGTTGCGTAGGCAGTGGCGCTCAAATAAAATTCAACACGTTCACCAAGAACATTGTGTGGTCTTATAAGTGAACACAAAAAATAATGTATCATTGGAGACGTTGCGGGCACTGTAATGGGGTCTTCGTAGCCAGTTGTCAAGCGTTCTCTTCAGCGATTGGTCCTCTCGGTCATCACGTGACAATGCGATCGCCAATGTAATTTGGCGCGCCGTATCCTAATGCGCCACCGATTGGCCAAGTGTCGCCCACGTGACTCGCGATCGTTTCCGTTCTTGATAGAGGAGAGGGGAAGCGGGGGCATGGGGGGGAGGGATGAGGGAGGAGGCTGAGGGGGCGGGGCTGAGGGAGGGGGCTGAGGGAGGGGGCTGAGGGAGGGGGCTGAGGGAGGGGGCTGAGGGAGGGGGCTGAGGGAGGGGGCTGAGGGAGGGGGCTGAGGGAGGGGGCTGAGGGAGGGGGCTGAGGGAGGGGGCTGAGGGAGGGGGCTGAGGGAGGGGGCTGAGGGAGGGGGCTGAGGGAAGGTCTCGCGCTATTGGCTCGGGGGCCGATCACGTGGCGGGCGTCCAGCGCGCACCGTCCAGGAGACTCCACGGGCTGGCGCGCGAGTGGCCGCGTGCCACGCTTGTCACGTGACGCGCCTGTCACGTGGCGCGCCTGTCACGTGGCTCACTGCTACCGGTTTCGTGGTTGCTGGTCCCCCTCACGGCCGCCCGTCTCGTGCGCGTGGCACGGTGCCCGGCTTCGTAGGCGCTTGCTAACTCGCTGCGACTGAACAGCACTTGCCCCAACAGTCTGTTACAGGCTATACGGGGGGGGGGGGGGATCTTTGCCTGCGGAGACAGTGGGAGAGAGAGAGGGGGGGAGGGTGTTGGGAGATGACGGCGGTGACGGAGGAGGCGGCGGCGGCGGCGGCGTCTCGTTGCTGCTGCGCGGCGGAAGCGGCCGCGGCGCTCGCCCTGCTCTGCCTGGCCGCGCTGCTGCTGGTAACCCTCCTCGAGAGACGCCACTCGCCTCACGGGGCAGAGCGGCGGCGGCGGCACGCGGCACGCGAGTGTAGAGCAGCACTGGGGCGACGTGGCCGTACCGGAGCGCGTTTTAAAAAGTTCGCGGTTTGACCCCCAGCGGCCGCCCCGGGTAATGCTGTGTATGGACACTGTGGACTGTAGAGTAAACCACCGCGCTATATCAGACCTCGGAGTTGGCACTTTGCTCCTGAGCCACATTGCTGCCATACGCAAAAAGAGAATTGTGTATTGGCTGTTAACATACTGTGACGATGACGACGACGAAAGCGACGTCTGCTTCGCAGTCGACATTTAAGATCCCGCGATCTTAGAGTAGGCCATGTATGCCACAGCATCAACCAGTCACAGCAACATTTTAAATATCCCACATTACTTAATGGATAGCCATTGTCATTTATATGCATTCATTAACCCCCCCCCCCCTACCTCGCTCAAGAAGGGCTCACGAGTGATGTCACATCTACATCTACCCCTTTATTTAAGGCACGAATCAAGAGGATTTCTCCACAAATCTGTCTGCCGCCTGATGAAGCTAGTAGTAATTACTGGCGAAACGTCGTACTCGGATTGCAATTGTTGTGGCTTTGCTCTCCAACACACCGGTTAGTGCTGTACTAGTGACGAATTGGCCACGTTCTGTTTACGTGACAACCCTTGCTAGTTGGCTGTGTCGGGTGGTGGCGGGTTTAACGACACATTTATATATTTACGCGATCTAACTCCCCCCCAAAAAACCCTGTAATATTGGTTTGTGAATTTGTGTAACACCGCGACTGACAGCAGGGCGCACAGGGGACAGAGACCGCGGTGGATGAATGTTTCAGATGTTGATGCGAGGCGCTTTTTGACGCGTAAATCGCTGTATCGTAAACGTTATAAGTACTAGAGAAGTACTTGGGCCACGTGTGTCGGTGTCACGGTTCAAGTGCGCCAATTTAGAATCGTTAATAGACTGCAGGAATCCGATGAGCTGTAAAGCCTCTCTGTCAAAGATGTCCAGTAGAGGCTGGTCCATAACGTTACAGGAAACAATACAAAAATACGACAGGATTGCAAAGTATTGGAAAGGTAAATAAATACAAATAATATTCTTGGTTCTTTCGGTAAAGTCACGTATAAGGGAAGCAATAAAATAATGAAAATATAAAACAAAATACTCACGAAGTTTCGAAACAACCAAGAATATCAATCCCTGCAGTCACGAAAGCTTTAAATAAAAAAATACAAATAACTATATATATTTAAAAAAACTAATTTTCTTCTTACCAAGTAAAGCCCATTTCTGGTTTAAATTGAGATGCCTTCCCTTTATAACTCGCGTATCCTCCGCCCTTCCCAAGTCAAGGGTCGTATATACTGTGACCCAGTTAGCATAATTTGAAAACTAGAGCCAATCAATTTTACGAATCATTTTCATTCTCAGTGACACAGTATTACCAGTAAAGTTGGACTACATTTAATTCGGAACCATTTTGGCTGTAGAACAGTGTAATCTAAACGCATCTTAGTAAAAAAAATCACTGCAAATAACTTTGTAATTTGCTTTTTTTTTATCCGCAACATCCCTTCTTAACTCTGAAACTTATCAACACCCTCTTGATGAGACTTGACAGTCAGCTGGCGATGCTTTGCTGGGGGAAACATATACAATCGTGACAATAATTTAAAACGCCCTTTTTTAGTAATACAAATAAATTAATGTTATTTTTTATCGGTGGCCACCCGTGATTAAATCTGGTTCTCAAATGTAGTGTGTTGATTGTCTATCATCGCTGTCAGCAATGACCGCACAAACAAGGGTTCAGAAAAGTTGATTCTCAACTTAATTTCGATAATTTCAAGCTCCGAGAAGTAAGCATAATATCGGCTTGGCTGTCGTGCGATGAACATTACTCTCTGTAGGCGCCGGGGCGGAGGAGGAAATTGCTGCCCCTCGACATTGTGGATCTGAGATCAGGTGGAAGGGATTTCGGAAATAGCACTGTGGGATCTACTTCCGAGGGTCGTTGCGTAACATGGAGGGTTGCTTTGCTCTGCTAGAGATCCCAATGAATGACAAGACACGGCACAGCCAGATGATAAAAATGAGGAAAGACATACGGTATATATTTTAAAATACTGTGAATGTTTACTTTTCAGCCCTTTGGCAATCTATTGCCCGGTGATCGTCTCCTTGCTGCATATTGGTCATCTAAATAATAATGATTTCAAATTAAATTGTGCCTATTTAAACAGCCTTCACATTAAAGTATTTTATTCTCGTGAATGAAGCTTAAGAAGCTGGTGATCGTCAGTCCATGACACACAGCCCAGGGTTTTTCTGTTTCATTTGTTTGGTATAACCCTGTGAGCCATTCGGCTCTTGAATCGGGTGCAACCGCAACAAACAAAAAACATGAACGAGAAAACATCTTAAAGTGACTATGCGCAAACAGAAAAGTCCAGGAAAAAAACCGCAAAATCTTCCAGACAGTTTTCAGGGTAGCTTCCATCTAATTACCCTATATTGTCACCCTAGCGTTGGCACTGGCCAGCCTCTATAAGCATGCTTAGAGTACAAGACCTGCTTAATGGAACGTGAGATCCAAGAAAATATATACGGTACTCCTATTCAGCACATCTGTCTGGGGTTTTCCAACGTGCATTTGAAGCGTCGTTCGTTGGAAAATAACTGTTCCATTGCACTCACAGTCCAGCCCATCATTACATCACTTTAGTGGCGTCATTGTGAAGTTGCTCCCATGCATTTCATTCCACCAATCCAGTGACGTCGATGGGTGACTGTGACCACGACGAAGTTTAACTTCCTGTAAGTCGGGTTTCAGCGGTGAACTGGCTGGGTTCATTGCTTGGACGGTCCGTGCAAATGTTTTTGTTAATATCCTATGACACCATCTTTTTGCCAATCTTGTTTATACAGTATTTATAAATTAGTGTTAATATTATCTGTGGTAATGTCACATGTATTTTAATAGTGTATAGCATTTTATTTGAACATGTAACAAAATATTACTTTGCAATCTTGTTACACATTTCCTTTATCTTTTGCAGGCATTATAAGATAAGAGTTAGACGAGACCAGCTCCTAGATGGATTTGATCACAAGACTGTGAGAGATGGCGATGGCTTGTGGAAGTCTTCATCCAGCAGTGGCTGATGATTAGCATGTATAGCTCTTTATTTTTTTGGCTGTTTGTTTTGCCTCTCATCACCAACCACGTCACACAACCACATTCCTGCTCTGGTTTGGAGGATGTCAACTCGCACCTCAGCCCTAGTCTGTAATAGGAACATACAAAAACAGATTGCACAACATTGGGTTAGACCAGGGGTCAGCAACCAACATAACAAGAAGAGACATTTTTTTTTTCAAATTCAATAAAAAAAAACCCGCAATATTTCAAGAGCTGCAATGCTTTTGAGTGGCACGGTCGTTATTTCCCATCTCGTTTGTACAATTCAGTTTGAGCCATGAGCCTAAGCGTAACATTTGCACACAATTCACTTCAACTATTGCATTCTTGTATATGGTAATTTTCGGGAGATAAGTGCTCCTGAGCAGACTGCTTCAAATAAATAACGGCACTAAGGAGTCTTTAAAGAGCTGACCCTCGGGCTGGAGCTATAATATGTTTTGTAATAATTAACCTCTTTAATTAGAATTCAATTATTTGTCTGGGAAAATAATACTGAGTCATAGGACTCTTTCAGGAGGATCCTGGTTATTTTACGATCTTTTTTTCCCAGCCAATTAATGAGTTTAAACAAGTGGGAGGAAACCGGAGCACCCGGAGAAAACCCATACTCACGAGGGGGACAACCCTCCATCCCCCTACAGCTGGAAATAGATGCCGATTAGTCCCCTTGCCGCACTGCCTTCTACTGCCGAGCCAGGTTACGGCACCTCAGCGCCCCCGGGAAGGCAGCTTAACAACACCTGCGCGGTGATCCACCAGCCCTCGCCGCCTTCACCAGAGCTGGAGTCCAGGCCACGTGCATAGTTGCCACTAGGATCTGGGTTATAGGTGTGCGTCTCCACTCTGCCTCTCTGACCGTGGGTATGGTTTGTCAGTTGGCACTCGTGGCTCACATGACGGCGTCCGGAGAGACAGAGCTGTGGCTCGGCAAGCAGGAGCCGCAATTCCTGGACCCGGTCACCGGTGCCCGGCGACTCTTCCCAACGCGCCACGATCCGGCGTCGCTCGCCCTCTCCGTCATCGTCCCCGCGTACAACGAGGAGGAGCGCAGTGAGTCGGCCACTCCGCTCGCGTTTCTCTCGCTTCCAACGTTTACAGAGGCATGCTGGGATTCAGTTTGCACCAGTATGCTGCGTGTGTACGTTGGGCTTGCGATGCTGGGATAATGCGATATGCGCTTGGTGCGGTCTTTTAGTCTCTTTATTTATTCCTGTTGACAGTGCCAGCCATGCTGGATGAAGCTATGAAATATCTAGAAGACAGAAAGGTAACGTCTTGCATATTAATCCCATCCACTTTTCAGAAATACAATTGGTTTAATATACATGCCTTGTCTTTTTCAATTAGTCCCAACACTGAAGGAACTAAACTGTAGTGATGCAAACATGCATTGATTCATACATTTAGCAGACCCTGCAGTTCTATTGTACATATTGAGCTTGTACTAGTTTTTTGTCCATTATAAATACATGATTAATTATTAAGCAAACACCATTCCCTCCATTGTTAGCAAGCCATGCCTTATGCCTTAGCATGCCGTGGCAAGATGTTAACTCCCTCGCCTGGTATGCAGGAGGTTGTGGGTTTGATCCCGACCTGTATATTTTGAGTTTGCATGTTCTCCCCATGGTCGCGTGGATTTTTCTCTGGGCCCTCCGGTTTTTCCCTTCCCATTTAGAAACACGCGTTTAGAGTTTTTGGCTGCTATAAATTTCCACATGATGAGCCACTTAGTTGAGCTATTGTTTGTGGTGAGGTCGCTTCTGAAAAGAGCTCTGTAACTCAGTGGGCCTGACCTGGTGAAATATAAAATAATTTAAGCTGTGGAAACGTCACAGAAGGAATGTGGTGGTCTTAAATCTTGACTTAAAGCTTTCGTGACCGCATGAATTCATATTTTTGGTGTCTTTCGGTAAAGTCACGTAGATAGGTTCAAAGAAAATAAAAAAAACTACGACGTTTCGATCTCAACACAAGCGGTCGTCATCAGGAAAAGGGGATAAACCTCTCAAGGCAACCTTTTAAACCTTTATAAACAGTTTGTATTTAGAGGCTAACCCCCTTTTCCTGATGACGACTGCTTGTGTTGCGATCGAAACGTCGTAGTTTTAATTTTCTTTGAACCTACGTACGTGACTTTACCGAAAGACCCAAAGAATATGTGGTGGTCTTGTTGCTGCTATGGGACCTGCTTTAGCTCGCCAGGGGGCAGCACACATCCACCAGGGTGTCATCTTCACATCTACACTCCCATGCCCATTGGATGCATTGTCAAATAATTAGGGTCGTGATTCGATTCACAAATCGATTTTTTTTCCTGTCTCATTTGAACAATTTTATTTGTTCGTTTCTCGGTTTTTTTCTGTCTCGTTTGTACGATTCTATTTGATCCATTATTCCTAATCGTAACATTTGCACATAATTCACTTCAAGTATTCTATTCTTGCATATGACAGTTTTCAGGAGATAAATGCTCCTGAACATACTGCTTCAACTGAATATAATACATTTTCACACGCACGGTTCGACGCGTGTATCAAAGCACAAGCATCGACATTAATGGATGCATTTATCTATGTATAAATACCAACTATATCCAGTAAGTCCTGGTTTAACGCTGTAGATGTGTGCCGTGTTAAGCGAAAAGCGCGTTAAGCGAAAACAATTTCCCTATAAACAATGCAACGAAAGCATTTGCCGAGAAACGAGGTACTTACGCGCACGCGCAGTGAGATGGCGGGACAAATAACTGAGGGTACGCCGCCAAGTCACTGTACCATTCCGCGCATTGTATCGCACCGCTCAGCTGCACAGCTCAAGAAAGTAGTTTGTCGTCAACCGCTCGGAAACCGCGTTTTAACGGTGCGCGTTCCGCATTTTAACGGCGCGCGTTCCCGAATGGAAGAACCGCGTTTTAACGGCACACGTTCCCGAATGTACAGTGAGGGGAAAAAAGTATTTGATCCCCTGCGATTTTGTACGTTTGCCCACTGACAAAGAAATGATCAGTCTATAATTTTAATGGTAGGTTTATTGAACAGTGAGAGACAGAATAACAACAACAACAAAATCCAGAAAAACGCATGTCAAAAAAGGTATAAATTGATTTGCATTTTAATGAGGGAAAATAAGTATTTGACCCCCTCTCAATCAGAAAGATTTCTGGCTCCCAGGTGTCTTTTATACAGGTAACGAGCTGAGATTAGGAGCACACTCTTAAAGGGAGGGCTCCTAATCTCAGCTTGTTACCTGTATAAAAGACACCTGTCCACAGAAGCAATCAATCAGATTCCAAACTCTCCACCATGGCCAAGACCAAAGAGGTCTCCAAGGATGTCAGGGACAAGATTGTAGACCTACACAAGGCTGGAATGGGCTACAAGACCATTGCCAAGCAACTTGGTGAGAAGGTGACAACAGTTAGTGCGATTATTCGCAAATGGAAGAAACACAAACGAACTGTCAATCTCCCTCGGCCTGGGGCTCCATGCAAGATCTCACCTCGTGGAGTTGCAATGATCATGAGAACGGTGAGGAATCAGCCCAGACCAACACGGGAGGATCTTGTCAATGATCTCAAGGCAGCTGGGACCATAGTGACCAACAAAACAATTGGTAACACACTACGCCATGAAGGACTGAAATCCTGCAGTGCCCGCAAGGTCCCCCTGCTCAAGAAAGCACATATACATGCCCGTCTGAAGTTTGCCAATGAACATCTGAATGAATCAGAGGACAACTGGGTGAAAGTGTTGTGGTCAGATGGGACCAAAATGGAGCTCTTTGGCATCAACTCAACTGCCTATGACCCCAAGAACACCATCCCCACCGTCAAACATGGAGGTGGAAACATTATGCTTTGAGGGTGTTTTTCTGCTAAGGGGACAGGACAACTTCACCGCATCAAAGGGACGATGGACGGGGCCATGTACCGTCAAATCTTGGGTGAGAACCTCATTCCCTCAGCCAGGGCATTGAAAATGGGTCGTGGATGGGTATTCCAGCATGACAATGGCCCAAAACACACGGCCAAGGCAACAAAGGAGTGGCTCAAGAAGAAGCACATTAAGGTCCTGGAGTGGCCTAGCCAGTCTCCAGACCTTAATCCCCTAGAAAATCTGTGGAGGGAGCTGAAGGTTCGAGTTGCCAAACGTCAGCCTCGAAACCTTAATGACTTGGAGAAGATCTGCAAATAGGAGTTGGACAAAATCCTTCCTGCGATGTGTGCAAACCTGGTAGCCAACTACAAAAAAAGTCTGACCTCTGTGATTGTCATCAAGTGTTTTGCCACCAAGTACTAAGTCATGTTTTGCAGAGGGGTCAAATACTTATTTCCCTCATTAAAATGCAAATCAATTTATAACATTTTTGACATGCGTTTTTCTGGATTTTGTTGTTGTTATTCTGCCTCTCACTGTTCAAATAAACCTACCATTAAAATTATAGACTGATCATTTCTTTGTCAGTGGGCAAACGTACAAAATCAGCAGGGGATCAAATACTTTTTTCTCTCACTGTCAGAACCGCGTTTTAACGGCTCACGTTCCCGAATGGAAGAAGTAGATGCAAACGTGTCGACTGTATTTGACATCTGCTGTGCTTTTTAAATGCGACCCATTTGTGCATGTTGAACTTCTTTCGCGCAGTACGTAGCCAACCGTGCCAATCGGAGGTGCGGGGGGAACGACAACAAACTAAACACAAAAGGCAGTTACGTAGAATTCGTTTTAAATTTAGATTTAAAAGTGCATAGCCCCAGTGACTTACTTGAGCTACGCAGTGGGTTTTGTGCGTTGTGTATGTATGTATTTTGTAGCTTCTTTCGCACCGTGCGTAGTTAATCGTGCTAATTGGTTTGTTTTTGAGATGATGGGCTGTTAACAGGATTAAATGAATCCGTGACAGAATTAATGATAAATTATGTTAATGCTTTTGGCCCATATATGGATTAAAGGGGTGTGGCTTTGCCCATATAAGGAATACTGGAACGGGAATTGACATTTTTTTGACGATTCATTGTTCGATTAAACGGGAATCGACCTGCATCCATCATGGATCAAGCACGGTGATTCCTGTCACGTGATTTGTGGATCAAAACCGACGATTTGTGGATCGCGCGTGATTTGCCGATCCAAAGAGACGATTTGCGGATCGAAAAAGCCCCACATTGGGCCGCCCCTTGACGCCGAGTGGCTTCCTTCTGCACTGACATAATTTGTCATTCTGTCGCGGATCAATTTCACCGCCGTTGCAGCGCGTCAAAAAACCAAAAAACCCCCCCTGCGCTCGCGCGATCGAGAGGAGTGGGATTCCTCGGGGGGGGTCGGCCGCGGTCGCCGCTCCGCCAGTTCGCACAGTCCGGCTGCTGCATCCGCAGTGTGGAGGACAACCAAATCCATGTTTGTACTGTATTAATCATTTTTATTTCCTTATGGTGCTTAAAAAGCAGCTGACTAAATATTATAACTGTGTTTTGAGTGTGGTAGTCCTTTCGATGACATCAGGAGTAGCTTGATGCATGTCGTCCATGCCTCCTGTAAAAGTGAATAATGGACAGCGGTCGGTTATGTGATGAAATTCGCTCCCACGATCATGCCGCGATGGTCACCAACGCATATGAACCGGCGTGGGCAAGTATAGCCAAACAATCCCCAATAGCCGCGTGGTGTGGCGAGGCCCTCATTCAGCAGTGCATTGACAAAAGAGTGCTGTACATGCACGTGTGTGTGTGTGTGTGTACCGTTAAGTCCACGGGCAAGAGGGCGTCGGAGCTTGTTGTGCCTTTGGTGCCGCCACTCCTTGCCATCCGCTTCCTTCCGTGGGAAATGGGAAACAGCAGGAGTGGGAGTCATCTGAAGGTGGTGGCTAAAGGCGCCCTGGGATACGTTTGTGGGACCTCGATTGGCACGGATCTAGAGATGAGTCTCCTGTCGGGCGTTGTGGTGGTGAAATGTGAACTACCTCGCTTGGTATACAGGAGTTTGTGGGTTCGATCCCGACCCTGATGCCTGTATATTTGGAGTTTGCGTGTTCTCCCCGTGGTCGTGTGGATTTTTCTCCGAGTCCTCCGGGTTTTTCCCCCTACACATTTATAATCAACATCACGCATTTTGGAGTCTTTGACTGCTATAAATTTCCAAATGACGAGCCACTTCGTTGAGCCATCGTGTGTGGCCAGGCCACTTCTGAAAAAGAGCTACATAGCTCAGTGGGCCTTACCTGGTAAAATAAATATTGTTTAGTTTAGTAGGAGCGGAAGGAAGGCTC